CTTTCCAGTCGCGTTGAACGTTATGGACGGCGAAATGCAACAAATATCGCCTCATCGTCACGTGGGATTCAGAAAAGACAGTCCAGAGCAAGGAAATCCAACGATTCTTCGCGGGAGATGCTACTCTCATATGTTAAGGACATGAGAGATGATTTGAGAGAGGATCTTCATACAGACAAGGAAAGCCAGCCATCTTTGAACACCGTCAATGGCCCTAATGAAGCTGATATCATCCTAAATTCGCTTGCAGAGATGGGACTTGATAAGCGTATGCAAACACATGCTTTTGACAAAATCATGAGTTCCCCTACTTGGCGGCCAGTTTGGGGCAGAATTGATGATGACATTAGGCGGAACTTTATTAGTGACTTTATTGAAGTCCCACAAACTCCAGCCCTGCATCTGTTTCGGGATCCTTATAGCCAGCCACCTCGCAACTTCTCTCAAGTCCCAAATCCCTACAACCAGCCACCTAACCCATACAATCACCCACCTAACCCCTACATCTAGCCACCTAATTCATACAATCAGCCTCCACAGCCCTATAGCCAACCACCAAACCATTACAACCGCCCACCTACGCCTTAAATGGTGAATGTTAGTGCCAAATGGTCCGATTTTCCCCCATGGTGGACCACGGATTAGTGTCTACTATTTTCATTCGAGTGTTATCTACTTAGTGAGGTTTATTTGAGTCGTGTTCTCTAGTGTAATGTTTAAGTTGATTATGAGTTGTATCCTTTATTTCCGAGTAGTGCACTTGGACCATTGATCCGGATTGTTGTGGTGTAATTTTTTTAATTCCAAAATCATGACTTGGACCATTTGAGTTGTGGTTTATTTCTGAGTAATTGTTTTAAATACATTTGAGTTATTATAACCAACTCCTCATTTAGTTTGGAACGCAGGTGGTTGACGAAGTAGATTACAATAATTGAGATCATACTTGACACATTTTTTGTATTTACTTTCTCGTTACAGGTTAATGCATAAAGCAACATCATGCAGCCACAAGGTTCAGCAAACGAAAGTCATGAAGTGGAGTCAAGCAGAACGAGACGCCGCAGAAGGGGCTTTCGTGCAGCAATACGCCTCGCCCCCGCCCCCGCCATTGTTTATGATGAGTACCGGGTACCAAGGCCGATGCATAACTCTGCTTTAAGGGGTATAGACAAAGTGAACGAGTTATTAGCAAATACTAATGAGGCTGCAATGTTTAACAAGGTGCGTATGAGACCACGTGCATTTAGGATTCTTTGTGAAATACTAATAGAGAGAGGTTTGTTACAACCAACAAACAATATGAACGTCCCAGAACAAGTATTTGTCTTCTTAACCATCGTTGCACAAAGTCAAACCAATCGTGAGTCATAAGATGTATGGCAACATTCAGGGGAGACAATTTCACGAAGATTCAGTGACGTCCTAGGTGCAATTTGTACGTTGCACGATGATTTCATTAAACCTCCCAACTATGACAAAGTTAGTGATTTTGTCCGTGGCAATCGTCATAGATATGAGACTTGGTTTAACGTAAGTTTTGTTTCTCAGTCTTATCAGTATGCCACAACTTTGGTTTATAAACACACTAACATATTTCATTATGGATCTGTTGTTCAGGACTGCATAGGTGCAATTGACAGGACTCATATACCGTGTACACCGATTGGTGTTCAAAATCAGACTGCGTACCGCAATAGGAAAGGGTTCAACTCTCTTAATGTAATGGCAGCCTGTTCATTCGATATGAAGTTCACATACATATTTAGTGGTTGGGAAGGTTCAGCACATGATGCACGAGTGCTTGCGGATGCGGTCGCCGAACCCAAGTTCAAATTCCCACATCCACCGCCTGGTAAGACCGCAACCCATCTATATGATTCTCAATTTGTTACCTGTTACAACATCCAAATTCCAACAAAATTCGTTTAACTTGCGTAGGAAAATACTATCTTGTTGACGCGGCGTACGCGAACAATGGTTGTTTTCTTGCTCCGTACAGAGGTGGGACTTACCACTTGCCTGACTACCAAAGGAGAAGTGGTGGATTTAAGGGACCTAAAGATGTTTTTAACTACAAACACTCATCCCTGTGAAATTGTATAGAGCGGACATTTGGTGTTTGGAAGGCTAGGTTCCCTATATTAAGGCGGACCAATAACACTTATCCAATGACTAAACAAGTGAAGATTCCAGTGGCATGTGCAATCTTACATAATTTCATTCACATGGTAAATGAGGGGGACTCGCTTCTAAATCAGTACTACCGTGATGGAGTACCGGTTAGTGAAATAGATCCAACCAATAGTGATGGATTTGATGACGATGACGATGACGACAATGTCCCAGAGGAGCCAACAGTAACAGGAGCTACAGTTAGCCGAACAGAGATGGGTC